AACTATATTTATTTCTGTTCTCACTGTATCGTGAAATCAAGCAACGATTCTTGCAAGGTGACTCACATATGTACTGCAAAGTGACTCATGTATGTGGAGACCATGAAAATACAACAGTGGCTCGTTGTTCTCTTGTATGCGTCAGCATGGGAATCACTTCATCCACGTTAATGACGCGAAGACGTTAAGATGTTGAAAAAACGCGAAGAAAAAACGGTAACACGGAAATGTAGTAAGAGAATAGACAAATGGTATAGGAGAGACGTCTCTTCAACACCACAGCTGCAGTGGCCGGATCAAATTCTGATGAGGAATTTACAACATCCACAACACCGTCTTCTACTGTTTTGTTGTCGTTATCTGTCACTATGTTTATAGCTGCAGTTAATCAGGTGTGTTACTAGTATTCTAAACTAATTCGTTATCTAAGGGTTTGAATGGTAGCTACCCTCGAAATACTGTATTCGAATAATCGACGAGCTTGAGAATTCGTGAAATCTTCCAAAAATTATCCTATCCAGGAATATTTGGGCAGTGGATTTGTGATCGTAGATTATTAAGCAAAAAGCCGTTGATGGGGAGTTTTTGATAGGTATTAAACAGTTCCATTTACCAACTCTATCGGCATCACCAATCAGTTGATTAGTTGCTGATTTTCAATGTTTATTGCGTTCTAGAAGCAAGGCCTTATCTAAACTTGTTTATTCCTTTATGGAGTAACTTAAGAATGACCAGTTACATATTAACTTAAACGGGAATAGTGCAGTGGTTAATGATTATGTCGATCAAAGACAAAGGATCTTATTCGGTTCCAAAGCTCTACACCAATCAACGCGGGAAGGCCTTGCCCTGCTATCTCCAACGCTTTAAGGAGAATTGACTCAACCAGCATTTTACGACATTCGTGAAGAAGACGCAAGCCTAATAAAGCAGCTGAAACAACAAGGAAAATGTTCGACGACCACTGTAGATGATGAATGCGAGGAAAGCGAATCCAATGCAAGAAGTGCTGGGACCCGCGCAGTAGGTGTGATAACGGCTCGTGTGAAAAGAAACACGTTGTTTAATCTGGCTAGTCTTTACTGATTCCACTTGCCCATGTGATATCGATCATATCGATCAAAATTAAAAAACATGTACTGGTAGGGTGAACGTTGTACAGGGGTTAAAGTTCTCGCCTACGTCACAAAGAAGTCCTTGTTCGATCCAGTGGCCGAAAAACGAAAGCCGTCATTTTTGCAGGATGAGTGTTTTTCTTTGTGTACTTTCTGTTTTTTGCTTCTAAAGTTGCCTTTTTCAGTTGTTCTCAAAAAATACGATACAAAAGTTGATGCTGCAGAATGAAATCAATAATTTAGTAAAAGAGTCATCCAGGTTCATCAGAGAAGAGTGAATAGTTTTTGTACAAAAGCGATTTATTAACAAGTAATATCAACATCTTTTTTGATTCGTTTTTTGAAAAGCTAACATCGTACGAGTTGATTGCATCTTAGAAATTATATATGCTGGAATTTTTGTGCATTGACTTATTCTTAGTAAAGTGTTTAGCACATGGGCTAAAGGTGCTCTTCAAGACATACGTGGTTGTTGGTTCGACATCGTACCCTGGACAAATTCAGCCCTGTAGTTGGTTAATTGGTGCCAAATTTGTTTGGAAAGATAAACAGCCACTTGATAAACCAGGAATTCTGCCTAAGTCAATCCATGGGTCAAATACGCATTCTTTAGTAGAGTCGAGTACACAGAGCATCCCTTAGGGGTTGATCAACGCCAAGCAACTTGCCTTTTACACATTTAATTCATTTTTGAAGTACTATTTTTAAGGTACGGCCTGTAATATTAGCCAGACTCAAATTCTGTAGCAAAAAAAAACAACCGTTTAACCACTGACTATTTGGATTTTAACGATTATCTGTGGAAAATAGCAAAGTAACCGAATAAAGATTGTGCTCACCAAGTGTCTAGGACAACTTAACGCAGGTAGAGACACTTTCGTTTGTAGCGGCCTAACAAACGCACCGTTCGAACTCAACGTTATGAGCAGACAGCTTCGAAGTAGTCCTTTCTATCATCAGATTCTCCTCACTAAACACCGTTTTGCAGTAGCATTGTGTTATGGAATATGCAGAGTAGGCGGTCAGTCAGCAAGAAGGTTAGCAGCACCAAGTGATCTTAGTAGTTTTTTCTTCGGTTTCACTTTTGATTTTTGAGCTTTTTTTTCGTTATTTTGTGTTGTAAATAATGTTCGTACTTCTCTCGTTTTTCTTCTTTTCAGTTGTATGACTTTTCGTCATATATCCTGCTAATTATACAACTTCTTCATTTCTTTCAAGGCTATGCATCGGTCATCAAAAAACGTTTTCTGATTTGCACATGGGTTTTTGCTCCACTAAATCTGGCCTGATATCCAACTAAAGTCTGTTGCTGCGTTGTATGACATCTTCAGCAATTAAGTCCAAAACTAGATTTTCAAATGACTTATAGTTTTCTGATTACTAGAAAAATTGAGGAGTTGAAGTTCGCTAAGTTGTTGTTTGAGTTCTGAAGTTTTTTGGGATTAAAATTTGGAAAAAATGAAAACTAGACTTAGATTTTCAATTTTGTAAAAGAGGTCCCTTAACCTCAGGATCACATTTGGCGACGCTATTGCGTTATAATGGACTAAGAGGAATACGTGTACCACCGTAGAGCTGACCTCAAATACACATAAGGTCCTAGGTTCGATCCCACGCTCACCGATCTCTCTATAACTCGGGGATCGACATATTGTAGAACACTTGCCTAGGAGGGAAAAAAGCATTAACTGTAGGTATCGATATGACACAGTAAGATTGCATAGGCCACATATGTATTCAGCCACCTTAAGCGGTGGAAAATGAATTCGAATGTGTGGCGCATCTCTTATAGAGAATTTCCCAATCAGATAGAGAATTCTCTATCTGCATAACTAATACAGTCCAAGGATCGATGGAGACCGCGTGGCTGCAACGCCGCGAGCGTCCTCTGCGTCCATATCCCGTTCTGGCCATAGGGACCACTGCTCGCTTAGACGTAGCCACGCCCAATAGCACCGTCATTTGACCCGACGACGCCGTGGAGAACGCCGTTTCCAGCTCCATCATTAATATCCTCCTGTTTGATCTTACCTTGCGGGTTTATTTGCTTAGGTTATAATGATAGTACGTGTAATCCTTAGCCCTTGAATCGCTGACACATTAATGTTATCGTTGGTTTTCGTGTAATTACGTCGTGCGTGTTAACATAAGTAAAATACGTTCATTGCTCACAGGTACGTCACAAACGGTTCATCGTTCTCGCGCTCTCTCGCGAACGCCTTTCATATCTTCGAGCTGTGAGCCGTTACATTGGTGTGTGTACTATTGTTAATGTATTTTATTAGGTAACAAACCCACTGAACCACCTCATATGCAGTTATTGGACTGACATTGTGTATCACCTTGCGTTTTTGTGTAAATAACATGTGTATACCAATAAGGGTTTAATTACCCAAGTTTGAGGTTTCTCACAAACGGTTTATCCCTTTTGCACACTCTCGCGAACGCCTTTCATATCTTTGAGCTATGAGCCGTTACATCTCTTGGGGGTTGAAGAACTCCGTACTCTCCATCAGTTTATCCACTTAATCAGCGGAAGACCATTCATCAATTTCTTCCAATCTCAAAATGCGAATCAAGGTGAGAGAAATTTAACAGAATAGGTTTGTTCGGCTTCAGAAATTCAGAATTTCATCATGGTAAGACAGCAGCGTTTGTTTCCTGTGGGCAAAGGTCTGTAGACCTCACGTTTTTGTCGGAATTTATAAAGTTCACGTAATTATCTTGTACTTTTTGGTTGATAGGTTATCATGAGGTTGATGAACTCATGAACTATAATGCTAATTATTATCCGCAACATTATGGAGAACCTAGCTTGCTCAGGGTGTGGCATCAGCGAAAGATCAAACAGAGCCGTCTTTCCGTGTCGTGCAAATTTCATGGCTTCCTCCATTTCATGCCATGTATTAAAGTCGTTATCCATAGAATTGTTTGAGTTCAAGCGTGGATTTGGCTGTAACTTGAGTCCTTGCTGTCTCCTCTGCTTATTCAAATTGCCGACGTTGCTCAAGCCACGGTTAGCTTCGAAATTGAGTACAACACCGTTCGAATGAAGAACCTCATTCGAAAGGCCATTTTGGAGAGTGGACAGACGGTTGCCGAGTGATTGTCCACCAACGATGTTTTCTCTTAACGCAGACACATCCTGCAACGATCGGTGGTGTAGCAACTATCGCATAACGGTCGACTGCCATTCAATCTCGGGTTACATAATCAATATTTTTGTTTCATTCACCTGTCTAAGACAGACGTGCTCGCCATTGTTATATTTCCCCCGCGTACAGTCATCTGCTTTCATGGATTCGAAGGAAGTTTGTTATTTTGCAGCTTGAGTTTTACTTCGAGGGCAGCGGTTCCTGCGGTTAGTCGATCGACCGCTCGAGAAGACATGACAAGCCGGATTGCTTAGCAATCGCTGTTATTGTTGATTCATTGCTGTCTCAGCATATATCGATTTAACTATGGTCTTACAGTGTTGTTTACCATAAGGGTGTAACCATTTAAGACCTATTGAAAAAACTAAAACCGCCGCTTGACAAGTACAACCGAGAATTAGTACTACCAACTGCTTCGTATACTACATAGATAATCATGTGACATGTCTCGAATAACAAAATAACATGGAACTGCGTGCTTCGCACTCTTTGCGTCGTTCTGCGAACGTCATGTGCAGTTGCACAGTTCCTCCCATAACTTACGAGAAGTCGAATCGTTACGTGTATGTGATTAAGTTCTGAAGAACTAGACAGACCACCAACAAGAGTACTGATAGTAGTAATAATGAAATTCGTCTTGTTAGAATAAATGTTAACGAGGTTGGTACCAGTTAGTAATAAAAGTATCGGAGGCATAGAGTACGGACCATGAGCGATCGGCCCTTTGAAAATGTCCGTTGCACTCGACGCTAGTGTGGCAAGATATTGCACTCACGGTTTTCTCTTGGTAAGTCTGTTTTTCATTTGAAGTTGATGATCACTTCAGTTAATCAGTAGTGCTCATGAACTCTATTACTCTAATGAACTTTCCTAATATTCTGCTCTCTTCCCTAAGTGTGCCTAACAGTATTCATTTGAAAGCTGACCACTCTTTCGCAACTCCAAGCATGAAGTTTCGTGTGTTTTGCAGAATTCATTAGTTCTCAATGTTTTCTTAACTGAAACGTCAACAGTATGTGTGCAGCTTTAGTGTTAAAGTAGTTACCGTCCCACGCACTTCCAAAAAATTGCTTTTTAGACTTGAATTATGAATTTTGTTCGGTAACATCTTATACTTCATTCTTGTTTTTTCTTGTAATCCTACCTGGCTGCCGTTTTTGCCTACTAGTTTATTACTCTGATAAGGGTTCATCTTTTTATTCATCTTTCAGAAGATTTCCGTCTCCTGTCCCACCTCTCCGCAAGGTGACGTGGAGCAGGTTGATGACGGAGTTTGGCCAACTTGTTTCGAATTGGCTAAAAAAGGAGAAATCTTATGCCGTGAGCATAAGTTCTATGATGGTAAGTTGAACTTGCCTTATTTTTCTTTGTGCATGGTCTGCTTAGTCTCGGTCATTGTTTTTCAAATTTCTAACTGCTTCTGAATTAAGCCATTGCAATCCTGTTGAAGGCACTGGCGTTGAATACTGAAGATTGCACGATTTTGTTCCCGACTTACAGTTGGGACAGTCATACTACTCAGTCAGAGATTTGCGAGATGCTTTCAGGCACCAGTGCTGCGACGTTGCGGTGTCGAGGTACATTTTACTTGTTTCCTTTCATTTTTCTTCCATTCACTCCCACAATCGTTTCCTATACTCCTACAAGAAGGAGATAAAAGACTTCATGTTTGCATAAATTTTTATCGAAATGTTTAAGGACTTCGTTTTCAAATCGTTTCATCCGAATTCGTGTTGAGCGATTTCGTCAAACGCACACCAGGTACATTTAACGATGTACTGCGTAGGCTGGCGTGGCTCTTGTGCTTTTTCTTAAGTTGCTGATGGTTATTGCGATCGTTATAGAAAATATTTAGGCCACCGTGTAACAACCAATCAGCAAATGTCGAGTGGCGAAATAGTCGACTTCCTTTTGTGTTGTTGGTGAAGCTCTAGTTCGTCCGCACTCCGATGGTCACGATTTTAAACAGCTTCAGAACTTGATTTTGTTGTCATCTGTGTATAGTTTGATATGCAGTTTGGTTGCGCTCATTAGGCTTTATCCTAGCGAAATAAATCCAAGTGATGCCAATAAACGGCTTGACTTCCTCCCACCAGAGGTTCGAGAGTTGTTGAGAACTTAAGTCTTAAGTTCCAATGTACATTAATTGGTCTTTGTTAAGAATGGTTGGCTTGCCGAGGTTTTATTAGCAATAGAAGACACAGTCGCCTTTTATCTCCAGTGCGATGCTTTGCTTGCGCATTTAGGAGAAAATATATTGTCAGAATCGAGTTTAAAAGAGGCCTGATATGATTGCAACTTTGATAAGGCTGGAAGCTTGAAAAAGTTAATGTCTGTGCTAATCTATATCAAGAAAAGTTTCCAGAAAATAAAATTACCGCTGTGGTATGGCTCCATTCCTTCCTATCGACTGTTCACCACACCCTTACGGGGCGCGTGCGGTACACTCGATTGAGGTCACCTTTAATACGCGACTGTTGCTTTGTTCGGTCCCCACCTCGGCGCGTTCCATCTCTCCAGGGTCGGCAAATTCGTTCCAGACTTTTCAGGTAGTGGATCGCTATCGATCTAACACAGGCCACGGTAAATTTCTGTACTGGACAGGTATAAATTCAGTTTACCTCGAAGGATGCTTAGCTAAGTTGAAACATGGCCTACCCCTAAGAAAAGATAGACTTCGAACGCCTTTTTTTCCTTTCTACCACGTTGAATTTAGTCTTGAATCAGCAACTTTTAAAAGGATAAAGGATAAAGCTCTTTGCGCTGATCAATCCCTTTAGGGATGTGCCACGGATTCGATGCACCATACAAAAGTATCGCTGGAGGTTATTGAATACGTATCTGGCTTTTGTTATGACTCTCGGTGACCTACCGATGTATCGAGTCAATGCGGCTATCCTCCCAGACAAGTCTGGTACCACGCTGCAGACCACGAGGGATGAAAGGCTTGGTGGGCCACGGGCGCGGGGATCGATCCTACGTGTGTGTCACAGTGGCGCCTCTAACGACTGCGCCACACGCGCCCTTCGGCAAGTTTTAGTGCAGCATTAATTGCTCAAGCGCTGCGATTTGTTAATGTGGGACCCGAACAGCAGGCAGACCAGCGACTTATGCGAAATCATGTTTTTGGTCTCTTATTTACATATTAGTAATAATTAGTAATTAAGTGATCAATAAGTGCAACGCGCGCCATAAAACCGCACTCCATTTTGATCTCGCAGTTGTCCTGATTCCACGATCCTAGTGGGTGCCACGATAAGCTGGAGGTGGCAAAGAAGAAGATCACAAATGGAGTTGCCAGCGAATCGATTTCTACGTATTGTTTGGAAGTTATTGCAGGGTTTTCACTCTTATGAAATTTAAGAAGTCTCGTAACGAAAAGCGTTCAAGACGGACATAATAAGTTCTAGTAAAACCAAGCTTAATATAAAAATCCCATGGATTTTAACTTGAGAGGTTTCCATAGTTTAAAACTGCTTTCAGATATCTTTTTTTTACCGTGATTGCAAGGATTCAGTTGTGGCTGTACAGTTCATTTGCTACTTGTATAAATAGGCCTTTTGTTCTACTTGTATAAATAGGCCTTTTGTGCAGGATTCTCTCAACGGTTCACCGCCAACGTTGCATTCTCCTGCACAACACATACTTTGCGGGTGAAGTACACTTACAGAGGCAACAAACGATACTTACATTTAACAAATCAGATGAAGAATGAACACTGGAAACCGAATGAATTACGCGATAGGAAGGAGCTACTACTATGTGCTACTAACAGTTCAAAGCAGAAAATACACTACGGTTTGGAGTACTTCGAGAACCACAACCGTAAAAGAGCCAAACGATAAATCGACATCGATTTTTGAAAAAATCGTTAGGTACAATTCTACGAAGTTACGTAACGAAACAATAAAAAATACAACCACAACGTTGCTGAGATATTTGCAAAACTCTGGACCGCAGGTGTCTATGGTGGGGAACGAACGCGCTATTATCCTTTCCGGGGAGTAACGCGTTCACCACCACACCATGCGGGTCCTTTGTTTCGCACGTCTCTCAGCTATTTCTATCGATCTTTTTGCCACAGCAATCACCCGTCAG